CTGATGGGTTTGAACTGCCAGCCTTCTGGTTAGCAGTCATGTGCCTTAGGCACTATGCTACCAGAGCTCCTCACTGGTTCATTAGATGCCACTTAAATGCTCTGTACTTCAGACTCTTCACTCAAAAGGTGCTAAAAATACTCACCTTGACTATTTCTATGGGTGTTGTGTTTTCAACAAAGGAAAGGAATAGTAGATATGAACATCCTAGTCAATGTCATCCTCATCATCACTCTAATTATTGAAAATGTAGATTTTGGTGTATACTTCAACCTATGAATTTCTCCCCAGAACTCTTTATGCCTAGCATATTTTAAAACCTTAGATGAATGCCAAAGTACTTTTTCTTCCAAGAAAAGGAAAGGATGAACTTTTCTTAAAACAACTCATCAAACTGCCTTTAATATACAGGATGGACTATAAACTTATATAAATAATTACCAAAAGAAGAATTAGTCATACAATATGTAAAATCTTTACTTACAGAAATAAAATAGATGCTTTCAAAATGTACTATCTGCATTATAATTCACAGAAAAGGAAGGTGATTACAGAAACTCTGACATGTTCCTGAGAGCTAATGAAAAAAATTGCCATCAGCAAAAACACATTTCTTTTTAAATCTCAATGACAGGCACTTTTGTTTTTCTGAAGAGAAGGTCTTAAGTTCCATTCAGTTTTATATAATGACTGGGATTTTTTATTATTATTATTTTAAAGTATGGGGGACACCTCATTATTAATTAAGTTTCCTTCTTAGCAGATATGGGGAAAAGAAATGGCTTGGTAAACCCGAGTGTAAGAATATCAGTAGGACATACTGTGATCTCTCCCCTGAAACCTCCGACTACGAACACCAATATTATGCCAAAGTGATGGCCATTTGGAAAACAAACTGTTCCAAATGGGCTGAAACTGGAAGATTCTACCCATATTTAGAAAGTAAGTAAAACAATTGTCTGTCACACATATGTTAATGTCAGGTAAATCTATCTGGTCTGCTGATTTAATGATCCCAGCCTCTAGACAACTCACCCAGGACACAGAGCTATGCCGGACTCCACTCTCCACCAGCTGTCTGAGTTGCCAGGAGCTCTTGTGGTGCAGTGGTTAAGCCATTCAGCTGCTAACCAAAGGTTGCCAGATCAAACCTGCCGGCCACTCTGTGGGAGAAAGATGAAACAGTCTGCTTCCATAAAGATTTTCAACCTTGGAAACCCTATAGGGCAGTTCTACTTTGTCCTATTGGATTACTATGAGTTGGAATAGATGGCAGCCAGTTTGGATTTTGGTTTGGGTATGTAATTTGAAGATTGTTTAAATGTTGTGGGTTTATAAACCATTGATGTGAGTCCACAAGACTGGTTAAAGATTGTTCTGATCATCAAACTAAGTCTCCTCTTGTTA